TCAGCACCGAATCCTCGGACGGATTGGCGTATTCGACTTTGAGGCCTTGATCTCTCGACACAACGCTCAAGGTATGGCAGGTAACCGAGCAGAGAGTCAGGAAATCCCAGAAGGCTCTTAGGAGCTCGACTGAAGATGCAGACAACGCATGTCGCCCGCAGCATTCGGGCGTCTCCACGGCCCGAGCCCTGGAGTGCTAGGGTGAACCGCTTCGGCGGCACTCCCCTGGCACCCCGACGAAAGGATCGCATCTTGACGCGATGTCGGGGCTCAACACCGCAATTGCGTGTTGCCAAGACGATCCTAGAGACAACTGCCCACTGTCAGTATTTCCTTGCTCCCGCACCAATGGTTCCTTGATCAAATAGCTCTGCCAGCGGGCAATCTGGGTGCTTTGGAAGAAGTGCTTACTCGCCTAAAAAGAAGCTTGTCAAGGAAGTAGTAGATCTGAGAAAATTACAGCGAGCGCATCAAAATTTCGAGAACGAGAGTCTTCGATGATGTAGCTACCTTGCCTGAAAATGGTGCACCTGGACGAGCCGGCTAACTTGACCAGACGCCTCTTGCGCCCGGCGATCTCACCGAGACGTAGAACCTGAGTAAAACAGTTTGTTCCGTGCGGTTCGGCATTATGCTACCCTGCTTGAAAACCATGCGAGTCCGGCAGATATCTTTAGAAGATTCACCCTGCCAGGCCAATATCTGGAACGCAAATACCCGTTTTGCGGGCTCCCAGGCTGGTGTTGTGACGGCGACGCAGCATGATGGCTCGAATTCGTGTCGTCAAAAGACAATATCGGGCAGCACCTGGGGAACTACAGTAGAGCATCGCTATTACCAGATCATGTGCTGGGAAAGGAGCGATGAGGCAGACAGCATACATGGCCAGAATGCTTACCCTCACTGATGTCTCGACCTCTGTAGGAGGCAGCCCTGGAGGTTACTTGTGTGTTTATCCGGTAGACATCATCACAAACAAGTTAGATAGAGGCAAACTACCAGAAAAGATAGCCAAAATCCGAACCCGGAAAGACGATTCATTTCACTGTGATGGTTACGAAGTAGTCCCTGCACGTACCACGCGGCCGGGTTGGCATGCACCTCAAAACGGGAATTGACATCAGTACATACCGTTTTCCAACAATCTGTTGTGCATATGTAAGGTATATTGCACTAAACGTTGCTGTGGCTGAGCTTTGACTGGGCCGAGCTGGCGCAAGAGCGACGAGCACGCTAGCTCGATTTAGGGCATGGCACCAGTTGTGGTCCGTGGCTCAGCCGAGAACCCAGCCCTCTCCGGCTCCCTGGCTCCCTGGCTCCCTCGCTGCCTGGCAGGAACAAGGGCAGAGATACACTGGAAAGTGATCGGCCGTAGGTATCGCCTTGGCACTGTGGTGGTGGATGCAGGCCCTGGGCCAGACAAGGCATGGCCGGGCTGCCTGCCAGGTGCAGTCCCAGGCTGTGGGTACCGGAGGTGCCAGTGACGGGGCATGGAGGGCTGCACAGGGGTGGGTTATAGAGGGGCAACTGCTGTTCTAGGCCCTGGAAGACCGCTGTAGGGGCTCCACCGCTCGCGGTCCCCGCCTCGCCCTGGTCGGCCGTCGCCCATTCCCTCAAACCGGGCCCAACTTGCGTAGAAGGGAGCGAGCCGCCCAGGGGGATGTGCTGAGTTTGTTCGTGCCTGCCCAAAGGCCCTTGTACTCACTCCTCTGTTAGGCACCTACCTACCTCACCAGGTAGGTAGGTCGGTACCAAAACTCACTAGTTACCCAGGGAGGAAGGCAGGCGCCGACAGGCAGGGCAAAACCCAGCAGAGCATTCAATTTTCTTCCATCTGCATTTGCTCACCTGTCTCAACTTGCCCGCTTCAGGTTTTGCATCGGCACCTCCATCCACCACCAACACAATCATCCGGATCGATCAACGCCATCTTTGCCGCAACCGTCACACACGCCCACAAATTCACTACAGTCACTGCACCCACACGACGCTCTTCCGAACACACCCACTTACACCCTGACGTCCCCGTCCCGTCCATCCAATGCACCTCGCTCCGACCTGATCGAGCCACCAACCGAAACACCGAGCAAAAGAAGACCCCCATTCAAGCTACCACCCAAGCAAACGCTCGAATCCAATTGCCCCCCATACCCAGCGCAGCGCAGCACGGCACCACAACCCTCGGCCTGTCACCTGCTGATCTGACCCGTGGATCACCTTGCAGGGCATCTGGACTGCACCCACGATTGTGACTGCCACACCCACTGCCACACCTATCCCACGTCCCACGCAAACATCCTGCATCGCGACCAGCGACCGATCCCGCCGTTGCGTCATGAGCACGCTAGGCTCATTGGCAACCCCCCCTCCCACCGCCTCCTAGCTCTGCCGTGCCAGTCTACGTCCACGCCCTCGCCCTCTGCGTCTCTCGAGTTCCTACTTTCTTTCACCCTTTTGGCAACATGGACGATGCGACGACGCTCATCGGGGACCTGCAGCAGAAGCTTGCCCAGCTCGATCACAAAGTCGCCGCCTATCGCCTAGACATGGCTGCCGAATTCACGAGGTACTCGCGCGACCTGCTAGAAAACATTCCTGAAGAACTCTCCACCCAAGTCCGCCACGGTCTCGCTGCTTCATTGTCGCAGTATCCCGCCTTGGGTTCCGAGCTGGAACTTGCCGATCTCGTTTCGTTGCCTTCCGTCGGTCCTATTGCCGCCGACGCCACCACTGCCGACCTAGACGCAAAATCCAACATAGCTGCCCAAACGACAGAGCTTTCACCTCCACTACCCGATCATACAGAGGACGATAGCACGATCGGGAATAAGCCTGCCTCACCAAATCACCTCTTGGCGAGCCCGTCTGACGAGCGCGACGTCCACCTCCAGGGTGTCTTCACACCGAACTTCCTCCCCCTGCTCAGCAAAAGCACGGAGGCGTCCCCCAAGCCATCGATGCCGTCCACACCTCTCACGACAGCCTCAGCCACTTCCGACGAAGCCGCGACCATGGGGCCTACGAGTAGGAAGGATAGCAAGCTCGAGACACAACGACCGCTCGATTCGCAAACTTCGTTGATGCCAACTCGACCTCACCATGAACGGAAAGGAACGAATGACACCACGTCTTCGGGCGCGTCCGAGTCTGGCGAGCACAAGGTGCGCCGCAGCGCACTGAGACGATCTTCGACCGGCGGTTCCAAACCTCCTCCGAGTCCTCGAAGAGTGCGCTTTGAGTTTGAGGGAGGCGAGGTCTTGCCGACATCTTCACCCCGCACATCCGAAGTATCTCTGGTTCTGTCGCATTCGCTGCACTCCTCCAACGTGCCCCCACCTGAGCCTGAATCGTCTCCGGAGGATGACTCAATGAGTGCCGAAGCCATACTGGGCCCCGACGAAGATAACGAACCGCCCCCGAAAAAAGTCTCATCGTCACAGGCATTGCGTGCGCTGTCCCGAACTCCTCTGGACGCCAACACAATCTGGACAGTCATTAACGCTGACTCGCCAGAACCATCTTCTGAAAAGAGCTCACCCCGCAACTTGGTCTCGCCTTCATCCAGCCGCAGTTCGCTTGCCAACTCGCCGTCAAGAAAAGCAAGCATACCGGACTCCTCAAAGGATACTGCCGAGCTCACTGTTCCGCGTACGAAGAAATTCCTCAAGTCTCCGCCGCCAGAAAGGGAAGAGAGAGCCAGCGACGACTCCGACTCATCGGACGATGATTTCCTTGCCATGGCGAAACCCAAATCTTTCGCCAATAAGAAGGCGATTCGCTCACCACCGTCCAGGTCTCCGACCCGTACCACGACATCGCCGCCCATCTCTCCCAAGCCACAGCCGGTAACATCAACGCTGAATGCCACAGTTTCTCGACGGCAGGAAAAGCCACTCAATCCGCAGGTGGAGAATGAGGAGGAAGGCATTTTTGATTTCGAGGGACTCTCGTCCTCTAAGGCGTCAGTCAGGCCGGCATCGCCACCAGAAGACGAAGAGGAAGCGGAGGAGGTCGAAGAGGAGGATGAAGGAAGTGGAACTCCGAAAAATCGGCCTGCGGTCATTTACTCAACATCACCTGCGGTCAGAATCCCCCCACCAAGAGCGGAGCGAGCGGAGCCGCAAGTGCCGGCGCACCTATTGTCAGGCTCAGTAGGATCCTACCGGGGTCGGCCGGTCTCGATGCCGGTCGTCAAGGATCCTCAGGTCTATGCTCAAGCTGCCTCTCTTCGAGACGTCAACAGCTTCATTGGCGGACTTGACGGTGATACCGGCACAGACGAAGGTGACCTGGCGAGCTACCGGGCGAGCGTCGGCCAGGCACTTTTTTCAGGCACGCCACGGAGTTTGACGGAGCGAATGATGATGGAGGACGCCCAGGCGGCGCGCCGGGCGGCACAACGACAGCCATAATGCGAACACCTATGAGTGTTTATAATGTGTACAACTACCTGGGCCACGGGAGGTTGCCATTAAAAGACGGCCTGTAAAAAGATTAAAAGGTCCGGGAACATCCTTATCTTTACCTAGAGGCGGGAAAACGGGGACGGTTCATGGCTTGGGCGCTTTGTGGTCTTGGTTTTTCATGGCTCAAGGGCCGGGGGGTATCACCTGGTGTTGTAGCTGGGCGAGGTGCACATGCTGTTAAGGCTTTTCTTGTTCCAAAAGCTGGAAAGGGAGCAAGGCGTTGCGGAGGAAAAGCTATTTCTTCTAGGTAATCTCTGGACACAACCGGCTGCTACTGCGGCAGTTGATTTTCTTCCAGGTCCGCCCCCCATTCGGATCTTGTGACTGCCTCAACGTATTTGTTGTAGGGAGCTGGGCGCGTCGTCTGACTATGGATTGATTCACGAGCTTTACAGATATTTGTCGTTCTTTTCGGCACTGTAGCCTGTTGGCTAAGATACTGCCGTCTCAGCTCTTGACAAGGGTTGCTGATACAAGGACAGGTAGGCCAACGTGGTTGCCTTATAATAGGTTCGTTCGCCCGAAATTTCTACAATGCCGAGAACCTCATTCCAGCCCGCTGACCAAGAGTCCGCCTCCCAAAAGTGGCAACCGACGTCCGAGGCGCCCATCTTCGTCATTCGTGTCTTCTTATCTACGACCACCATCAAGGAGTGTTACACAACCGCCACCCCGGCCGTGATTCAGGCTACGATGAACCCCGTAGACAGCCCGGGCGAAGAACTGCATACAGCTCGGCATGTGGCTATCAACTATTGGACTGGGTGGTTGGGCCAAGGCCATGCATGAAGCAGGCTGCGAGCTGTCGCCTGTGAGAAAGCAGTTCGCCCCTCCTCCTTCTGTTATGTGGTTGTGAGGAAGTCGTGAGCTCCGGACGAGTAGGAGGAGACCAGCACTTCATGGCGCTGGCCGAAGGGTTCAGCATGGTGCTCTTATAATCTGACAGGAGGTCCCGTCCTTCGTCACCTCCATCAGGTCTCGTCCACCGTCTGCTTTCCGCATCTTCAGCATCTCCCCTCTTATCACTGCTCGGAATAGCCAAAGCCAAATCCTCTTTTTTTCAAGTGCATAACAAGTATGTCGAGGATCTTGGTCATGGTCACCATCAAGGGAACACTCACTGACGGCCTATCAAAGACTTCAACCGCAATTGAATCATGGCCTCCGGTCCCTCTCAAGAGGTTGGCTTCGCCCAGCAAGGCTCTGTCGACTGGGTCGCCTTTGGCACCACGGTTCCAAAATTCACCATCGACATCCTGGCACGGATCCAAGGAGCTGGAGTCCAGCCCTTCACTTACGCGGCCGGGTTGCAACTTGTCACACGCTTTGAGATACCCGAACGTGGACTTCAGAGACTTGATGATGCCATTAAGAGGCTCAAGTATCAAAGTATTGCATCGAACCTCCTCTACTTTGGATTCGGCCATCGGAGTCTCTTTCGCATCATGACCGAGACTCTTTCAGGCATCAAGCTCATCGCATTGTGCGCTTGTTTGGCCGAAGTACATCGAGGGGGCATGCCAGCGATGATTCTTTCTGCCCTGTGGGATGTGTATGAGTTTTCAGAAGAATACAAGCCATCGCTTGAACAATTCAGGAGCCTCGTCAAGGTGTGCAGTGGGGTGTTGTCAGCCTCGCCGTTCCCCGAAGTTTACCGTCGCATGATGGATCTCTACCTCCCCATTACTAGACCAGGAGCAAATGTGCAAAGATGCTCTGAGCCTGCCGACGTTGCAAAAGCTCTTCGTGGTGTCTTCGACATCACCACTGAGAAACACAACCGTATCACTGTTGTTGGGGGTTCCAGCTGTGCTTTCATCGCTGCCATCTCACACTGGCTTTTCGACCTGACCACGTACGTCGAGGACGAAAATGGCAAGGTTCTGTTCGCTCCGTCGATTGGGAAATGTCCGATCGATCCTATTACGGCAAAGGTCCACGTCCAGTATGGCAGCGAAACAACTACTGCGATGATCGACATATCAAGCACATCGTATGTGATCGGGAACATCAGAGACATCATCGCTCTGGACGACCAGAAGTCTTTGAAACTACGCAGCCGCGTTCCCTGGGACTTGGCGCTAAGCCTAAACTTCGGGGACATCTTCCTTAAACTCATGAAAGCTTCCAAATTACTCGGCTCTCTTCTTGGAAGTATTGCGCGGGTTAGACTGGCTCTAGCGGTGGGTGAGCGTGATGTCGGCGACTGTGATCGTGGGGATTATGTTGACTTCAATGAGGCCAGTTACGGGCGCGGGTTCATCAATTCCGTTAGTCAAACCTTCCCTGAGCTTTCCAGCCCAGAGCTCCGTCAACACATGGAAGGTGCTGCGGCTACGACTTTCAAGGTTGCCTACGGCCAGGTACACACAGATCTTGATATGTTGCGATACCATTGCAAGTGCCGCGAATGCAGAGGTCTTTCCAGCACAACATCATCCGAACGTTGTTCAGCGCGCTTGGCGGTCACAATAGTCATGACGGTGTCCACGATGTCTTCGCTGAGAATTCATACCGAGCCGCCCTTAAATCCGACTTCAGAGGGACTTCAGAACATATACCGGAACGCCAGCTCAAATGGTTTTCGGTCCAAAATTCACTTTTCAGGATTTAGTCACTCGTCCGTATCGGGCCCTGGATACTTTTACGACTGGAACGGGGGGCTAATTGAAGTTCTGGAACTCTTCACCGGTTCGCAAGTATCTCTTTCTCTCAAACTCGAAGAGGATCCAGCAATTCTAGCCATTCATCACGAGGGAATTTGTGTGTTTGCTGAGATGGCTGTGGACTTGGCTTCTCACGCCGATAAAGCACGACAGATCCATGTGATTCCTGACCACATCAACAGGATTGGAAACAACCCACGGGCATGCGCCAAAATCCACGATATGATTCTCGATCTGACACGGACTACCTCGACGCTAAAGACTGTCAAACTGCTCCGGGGTCCAGATGTGCACACACTAGCGTGTCATCCAGAACTGAGTTCATCCGGATCCAGCGGGAAGGTGCCAAGTAACGCTGCATCGCGGGGGCGACTTGAGAATCTTGACCGGTCACGGCCCAAGGAGTGTGCAGCTACGTTCTCGGTGACGCAAGAAGTTGTCGAGTTGGCGGGGCCAGGCATGCTGTCCCTATTCTATCGAGCTTGTGACACCGACGGAGGTTATATTATACTGCGCCCTGGGCAAGTCACTTGCGACTTGCTGAGAGGATCAAGACGTGTCTGGTGTGACCAACATCAGTGCTCTTCAATGAACTCTGAAGCCTTGGAACTGTTCACTGTTCAGCAAGGTTGGCGCGTCGACATAGGACCGATCACATACAACGACCAGAACTCATCGCCCAGACTGCGTTGTATTACTTGGTCAAATCTGGGTTTGAAGGACCTCAAGCTGTTGGTTGCACTCGCGTCGTGTGATGAGGCGCCGGGTCGTGGGAGGGAATTCTTCGTGAGGCACGGTGAATGCCTTCCATGTCATCTAGCGGCAGCGTCGGCTATGATACCGCCGGCGCCCAGCCCTGATGACAAAGCTCGGGCGGTGTACAAGTATTGGGACTTCTTTCACAGGGTCGCACATTTTATATAAGTCCCGAACACATGACGGAAAGTCCAAATTTGATTGGTGTTGGGTTTTAATGCGTATCCGTTGTGATTGAAGGTTACGAAAGATTACGAAGCTATTCAAAATGGATTCTCGTGCGCAATGAGCTGATATGATTCAAGCGCCATGATGGTGTTGTCTATCTTGGCATCTAGCCTCACCGGCATGAGAGTCGACGAATGTGCCTGGTGCAAGATCACAGTGACCGGCTTGTTTCTTCATCAAGTGAAAGAAGCGAATGGTGAGTCAAGAAGAGCTTATCACACACCCAGTCCTTCAAAATGGCCTGGGAAGACTTTGAAGGAGCTCAACCTGACTTGCGGGAGAATGGCGTTGTGCTGCGGACGTTCCAGAGAAAAGGATCTGAGTTGAGTTGCTGGTGATTCTGAGAAGTGCTTGCACTGAGCTTGAAAGTGGAGCCAAGATGAAGTTCGAGGCCGACCATTGGCTGAACTGAAGGGCCGCATTCCATAGAATATGATTGGCTTGAGATTCCAATAACCAGCATCATGCAATTCTTCCCACACGCTCCGGCCAGCCGTCATCCCACCTTCGACAACCATACCTAGCATCGCAGCCACGACCAGTCAACCTCATCACAATGGGCGGTCTCAACCTTGAAGTTTTTAAGGTGACTTGATTAATCGCTCTGATATTGATGGGCCCCCAGGCTGACGACATCAGTTCGGCATGTACCTGATGTTCCCTATTGGCATCATGTACTACTTCGGCACCAACCTCGACGAACGCTTCGCCGTGGCCGGCTACTGGCCGAAGGCCGAGAACTCACATAAGATCCCCTTTGAGCGCGATGAGATCAAGGAAGAATACAAGCGCTTGATGCAACGACAGCGGTACCTCGAGGACCTGCGACGGAAGAGGGAGGAGCGCGAGAGTGTGTCGCAGCAACAGCAGGACGACTCGTAGACCACGCTAGGCCTACTCGATCATCTCGAGCTGGAACACAGAGAAGGGTGGAATACTCCGCTATGGCCGTGATGGGAATGGCATGGGCCATTGGGCTCGAAGCAATCCGTGGTGGGACATGTGTGTATTGATTCTGGCGTTCGGAAAGGACGGGGGCTTTTGTCTGGCAAGACTGGGCCGCCAGGTGTCGCTCCTCATGAGCCCTTAGTGGCTATTGTTCTACATATTGTACAAGACTGGGTATACATGTACGAATACAAGTGTACGACTAGGAGTTTGCCATGTCACATATCCAGGTTATCCTCGATGCGCTGCCAATCTTCGTCCGAGATGGAACCCCGGGCAACATTGGCGTAGATGCCCTGTACCTCTGGTTGCTCCTGTAGGGCAGCCAGCAGGTCGGCAAGGCCTTGTGCGTCGAGCTCTGTGTCGACCTTCACCTTGGTATCTTCATTCGCTGCCCAGATGATCTCCGAACTGAGAATGCGGTCTCCGAAGCTGGGCCCCAGTGCTTGCGTCACAGCCGTGGTCATGTTCGGCTGCGTCCAAATGACGATGTTTCCATCATCATCGGTCTCAATATCCTCGGCGCCCGCTTCGATAGCTTCATCCAAGATATCGTCGACGGTCACCGCCGGCGTCTCAGCCGGCGCTGCTGGGTCTCTAGGTTCAAAGACTACGCGCCCCAACCTTGTGAACAGGAACGTCGCAGACGAGCCTGTGCGGCCCTTGTGCCGCTTGGCAATCAACATAAGATCCTGCAGACTCCTGCCCTTGCTATCGGTCTCGCAGTCCACGATCAATGCTACGCCCGGGGACATGATGATTTCGATGGTCAGGGGCTCGAGGCTGGCTCCGGAGGCAGAGCGACCCTGGCCTCGCGCCACGGCGCCCTCGAGGATGTGCTTCGGAACACCGGCCTTCTTGGCAGTCGCGAGGGCGGCGCCGACCTGAGGGCTGGTTTCGCCGTGCACTATGATGGTGCCTGTAAGCAACTGCACAAGCTGGCGAAAAGTGGGAGGACGACGGACATCGTGAGAGTAGCGCAATCATGCGCGACGATTCGGCGCGGAGGCCAGTCTTTTGAACATCAGCGGCACCCTTGCGATGCTTGATCTTGGACCATTTGTTGTGACCTGAAGCTAGGGGCGGGGTGGTGGAAAACTGTCGGAGGCATTGGCGACAGAGAGGTGGGCTCGGTAGGAACCCTAAGTGTTTTCGGGTCAAGGAGGAGGAGGAGAACGGACGCATCGTGCACACATGGTCGACCAGAGATCAACCTCGTCACGATCAACAAGCTCAAGAGCTAGAAGTCGAGTCCAAGGTTAGAGTCGAGGGTCTGGCCAGAAAATAAAGTGGAACATGGCGGGTGGGACATGTTGAAGACTGGCTGTGAGTGGTGATTGGCAGGTCCAGTTCAAGGGTGATGACATGCTGTACAACCCCTTTAACTGCACTATTTCCATCCCTCCACACCTCCTAGCCTGGACCTGCACTCCAAGCTTCGAGTTGACGGGAGCCTAACCTACACCTCACCCAACCAACCCTCCAGGGTCATATACGCCCATCTTCCTAGGCCAACAAGATCACGACGACACCATCTTCTGTGCTCTACCCATGTCGTCAACAGAGCCCTCGGGGCCTCATGGCGGATCCAATGGCGACCCCGCGGCGCCAGTACCGCCCGCGGTAGCTCCCGCTGCCGTGTCTGCCAACCCAGAGCTCGACCTCCCCAAACTCCAATCTCTTCCCGCCGACCAGCAACAGCTATTCCTGCTGACTTCGGTCGCCGCCCTGACCAAACATGTTCTCGCGCTCTCCAACGATGACTGTACCGCCCAGCAGTTCTACCTCAAGAAAGAAGTCTTCCAGATCATCAACTTGACCACCCCTCAGCCGACCCGCGTTGTGAGGAACAATCTCGGAAAGTGTCTTGCGCATATATTCGGCCACGGAGACCGCAAACTGCTGTTCGAGACGATCAACGACCTCGTCAGCATCACACAAGGAGGCAAGGGCAAGGCCGAATCCTCGCAGCGCGCCAAACATGCGGCTGTCGTGTGCCTCGGCGATGTTTTCGCGTCTGCAGGAGACAGTGCGATCGGCCTGCACCCCATTGCCTGCAGCGCCATGCTGAAGCTCCTCAAGCTTTCCTCAAACCACGCTGGGTTGAGGGCAGCCGTCTTCGCATCTCTGGCGAAGGTGGTCAAGATGGTCGAGGGCAGTATGGACGAAAGCATTGCCAGGGACATCTGGAAACAGGCTAGGAGCTTTGCGACCAGCGACAAGGGCGCCTTGGCCATCGTGTCAGCATGCCGCTGCCTCCGGGCGCTCGTGCGGTACACGCCATACTTTGAGGTCTCAACCGACTTTGACAAGCTGCAGACCGTCATCTTCAAGGTCATCGACTCGCCTTCGACGCAGGTCCGGCATGCGGCCGCCGATACCCTCGCCGAAGCCATGCTGCGCGCATACAACGAGACAGGGGCCGCAGAGGCTGTGGCCAAGAAGAAGCCCAAGTCCAAGGCTCTCAAGCGCCAGAGTACCATCCCAAGCAACCTGCAAGACGAAGACGATCTTCCTCCGTCTCGATCGGAGAGCCCCGCGCCTGGTGGAAGGAAAGGACAGACCTTGGCGCTGTCGCTGGCGGACATTCTGAAAATTCTGACCGGACACTACACCAAAATCTCTACAACGAACAGGGCGCGGGCTGCCATTGGAGTATGCTTCGGCAAATTATTCAGGAAGCTAGGCGAGAAGACGGTCGAGACAAACTTCCTCAAGATTGTCGACAGCCTGTCTGTTGATATTCTTGGCCACCCCAGCATCACGAACAACAGGTACCGCCTCCTGGTCTCGCGGCGCATCACAAACACGATTCTGCAAGACATCATTGGCAAAAAGATACTCGGCGAGTCAGGTCAGATGGCTGCAGCCAAGGCCATCACCAACGACATCATCAAGAACTATCCTCAAGCGCTCCCCGAACGGCCCGAACCTTCAAAGCACACATTGATCACTGCGCTGGGCGTGGTGGCGTCGCTAGTGAAGAGCCTCGGGTCAGCAGCGAACGGCTTCGCCGAAGCCTGCAGGGACGGCCTCCTGGGCGTCCTGCAACACCCCAGCTATTCAGTCCAGGTCCATGCCTCGGCATGCATGAAGGAGCTTGTGCTTGCTTGCCCTCAACAGTTGCTGCCATGTTTGTCCGTGTGCATGAACAGCATCAATCGCGAATTGTCCCTTTTGACAACGGGGCGCAACTCCCCTCGTCGATGTATAGGATACGCACACGGCTTGGCTGCGACGCTCAGCGCAAGCCCTTCGCGGCCGTTGTACGGGTCTGTTGATATAAACAGTCGAGTCCTTACCATGGCGACCAATCTACTGAAGTCCAGTGGACAGTCAGAGCTTCGGGTTTCTAGCACGCAAATCCAAGTGGCGTGGATCATGATCGGCGGTCTTATGTCGCTGGGACCCAACTTTGTCAAAATCCATCTCTCGCAACTACTTCTTCTCTGGAAGAATGCACTGCCGAAGCCCCTGTCTAAGGACAACACCTCCCATCGTAGCTTCCTGGAAGCCTCCTTCCTCACTCATGTTCGCGAGTGCGCTCTCGGCTCCATTCTGGCCTTTTTGCAGTTCAACAGCCGCCTCCTCACAGTTGATGTATCGAAACGCATCGCGACAATGCTTCAGAACACATCGGCATTCTTGCGATCTCTGCCAGCAAAGAAGCTGACGGATGATGTTGCTCAGAGGCTGACGCCGGCTCTTCAGCTGCAAGACTTGGACATGATGGTACAGCGCCGCGTTCTGCAGTGTTATGCTAAGCTGGTGAACCTCAGCCCAGCCGGGGGCAGCGAGGCTCTGATTCAGTCGAACCTCCTCACTCTTGCTATCTCACTGTTTGCCGATCCCGAGAATTATGCGCCTAGTTCCTCCATCAGCGCTTCTATCGCCAGTGCAGCCGCAAATTTCGAGACTGTCTGGGACGCCGGCGACAACTCTGGGTTCGGCCTCACAGGCTTGATCTCGGGCTTCAACATTCGACGTCTGCCGGGTCAACACGAGTCCTCGCTCGAGGAAGGCTATGCTCATCAGGATAACACCCCAGACGAGGCCATTGACCGACTTCTCCTATCTCCCATATGTGGCAGTCTTGAGCATGATGCCTCGCTTCTATACATCGGAAACAATACCACAGATTCCAGCGCCCCCGATCCACCAGCGACGGAAGTTATCAACATGGCCATCCAGCTGTTTGCTTTCGTTTTCCCCCTGACTCCTGCTAAGGTGCAAGAAAGCATTCTCGAGCAAATCAAGACGTTCATGTCGGCTGGATCATTGCAGAGAGATCCCGGTCGGAAGGCAGCCATCAATGTTAATGTGTGTCTTGCCATCCATTCAACCCTCCGCGTTGCCGCCAAGGAAACACAGGCACCTTCTGGTGATGTCACGACCTTGGCTGTGGAGAAGCTGCTCCAGGAGATGCTGCGCGACTTCATCATAGATGGGGATCAGTATGTACGAAGTATCGGCTACGCCGCTGTTGCCAGGCTTTGCAATGCCTGCGGTAATGCCTTTACCAATCATGAGATCAAGTATCTTGTTGACACGATTGTGGCGAACCGAGAACCCAGCGCCCGAGCAGGATGTGCTATGGCTATGGGTTCGATCCAGAAGCAGGTCGGCGGTATGGCGGCTGGCTACCACTTGAAGACTGTTCTCGGCGTCCTCATGTCGCTCTGCAGCGACCCTCACCCGATAGTCCACTTCTGGGCTCTGGAGGCTTTGGCGTTGACAGCAGATGCGGCCGGTCTCAGCTTCTCCACCTATGTCCCGGGCACGCTGGGTATGCTTGTGCAGCTGTACGTCTCGGACACTCACAATGCGGAAACTTCATCAGCCGTAACCATGAATCTCGAGATGGAAACGTCGACCACTGCTGCACTTGCACGATGCGTCGACTCGTTGATCAATGTCCTGGGACCGGACCTGCAAGACTCTACCAAGTCAAGAGGGCTCATCCTGGATTTGGTGGGACAGTTCCAAAACGAGGATGATCTCGAGGTGCAGAGAGCGAGCCTTAGCTGCTTGGAACACTTGTCCCTTTACGCCCCTGGCTACATGGAATTCGAAAAGTACGTCAAGCTTCTTCAGCACTATTTAAATTCTGAATTCGCCACGCTGCGGGACGTTGCTGTCGATGGACTGTACAGTATGATGAAGAGGGATCCAGAAGACGTGATCAAGGCAGCGGATAAGGGTTTCGAGGATGAACTATGGCTGGTCCTTGACACAATCCCAACACACGATGGCATCCGCAACATTCTCCGCAACTGGCTTCGACAGACCTCTTTGACCAAGACAGAGGCGTGGCTGCAACGCGTTCAGGGCGTTCTCAAGATGACGCGGGCGAAGCCCAAGACCGACCCTGACGCAAGCAAGGCAAAATCAGGCGGACTGCCTGACCTCAGGGACGAAGAAGTGGCTGGCTTCGCAGCTGCCCTCGGAGCGGCCAAGGATGATCCTGACACCAAGGCAGCATCAGAGGTCGAACCGCTCCGTTGGCAAGTAACGACTTTCGCCATCAGCTGTATTGGCGATATGTTCGTCTTGATCAATAAGGATGTCGCGACGAACGGAGAGTCTGCCGCCCAGGTCGCCCTTCAGGGCAGGATCGCTGATGTTGTCAAGATGGCTTTCTCTGCTTCGACATCTAGTGTAGTGGAGCTGCGCATTTGGGGTCTCAAGATCATCGGTGATGTTCTTAAGATGTTCGGTCGATCGCCTGATCCGGATTTCGAGGAGGCTATGCTGCTCGAACAGTACCAGGCTCAAATCAGCTCTGCACTTACACCAGCATTTGCCGTTGACTCGTCGCCTGAACTGGCGGCCGAGGCTGTCAATGTCTGCGCCGGCTTTATCTCGACTGGCATCGTCACTGATGTCGACCGCATGGGCCGAATCCTGAAGACGCTGGTGACCGGGCTAGAGAACTTCTCCAAGGAGAACGAAAATGCTGGCATTGGCGAGCTTAAGGGTCTCAGCTCTAACGCTCAGGTCATGGTTAAAATGTCCGTCTTCTCAGCGTGGGCAGAGCTCCAGGTAGCCAGCTCGGAACAGAAATACCTTCTGGAGGTCCTGAAGCCTCATATTGGTACCTTGACTCCGCTTTGGCTCGAGTCACTTCGCGAATTCGCCAGGCTGCGATTCGAGCCCGACATCTCCATGACTCTTGGGCCCCCCTCACTTTCTGGCAGTCTTGACACCATCTATGCTGCCCTTAACCGGGAGACGCTTCTCAAGTTCTACCAGGAGTCGTGGCTCAAGCTCGTGGATGCCATTGCGAGCCTCATCGAGCAAGATAGCGAATTCGTGTTCGATGCTCTAGATGGCAAGGAGGTCGACGGACTTGCTACCAACGGCAGCGGCAAGGGACCCGACATTAACTATCGCGATGAGCCCGTCGCCTTCTTCTTCGTTCTCTTTGGCATCGCGTTTGAGGCTCTAGCTACTCGCCCAGGACAGACTGACTCGCTGGCGACACAAGAGCAAAACTTGGCCATCCTCCGGGCTCTGAAGAAGATTCTGCATCCAAGCGTCTCTGGACATGCGATCTACCGCGACGCCATCTTTTCCGAGACGATGGACTTGCTGGATCGTCTCGTTCTGACAGAGGGTCTCGACGTGCAGGGCGTCATCGTAGAGATTGCCCGGGCACTTTGCGTTTCCCACCCCTCTGCGCGCAAGAAGAATGCTGCCGACGATGGTAACCTGTCCGACGACATCGAGCAGCTGTTTGAGCTGACACGCATCATTGTGCTTGTACTCTCCGGTCTGCTGCCAAATCTCACCGGAGAGAACCAGCCGATTCGTCACCAGATGACGGAAGAGGCGATCCTGCTCATCAGGTCGGCTCTCAACGCGCTTGTCGATGCTGCAGAAGTGTTCCCCTCCATCATCAAGACGGACCTCCACGCCTGTATCATCCACATATTCGCCACGACTCTCGCAGCACCATCCTGCCAAGAGGTCATCGTCGCACAGTCGCTACCCACACTCAAGCGCTTCATCACTAGCGTGTCCGGCTCGCGGAGGCCGGTCAACGAAGGCGAGGCGTCCGCAACGGATGTGCAGCTCCAAGGGTGTCTGCGTCGGTTCCTATCAATCTACCTCAACGCACAGAAACGTGAGGCGTCGACATCGCTCGCCTGCGTGAAGAATTGCTTGCTTGCCATCACAATCCTCTTTACAGGTGGGACGAATCACCTTGGGGCGAACGAGCCGCTCGTGGCTCGGTATCTTGATGAGCTGGTTGACTGCCTAACGGATCGCATGGTAAGTCTTGTGTTATGCACCCCTTTTCTGCCTCTTCCCTGCCCAAGTGGCACGATACCCCTCCAAGTAGAAGCTCTAGACTGGGGCCACGCTAACACGCCACTCTCATAGACTGCAAAGATCGCTGCAAACTGCATCCGCTCCCTGTTCCTTCAGCCGAACCCCACGCCCGCTGACCAAAGCCTTGCGCGATACCTGCTGCCTCGTCTGGTTGCCTTTGTGACAAACACGGACCCGGAAGACCCAGAACGGGCGCGCGCCCTCGTGGCGCAAACCCTGACGCAGTACGTCGCGTCGATCGCCGCCGTCGGCAAACGCGAGCGCACAACGGCAGCGATGGCGCTCGTGCTGCCGACATTGCTGGCACGGGCCTCGGCTGAGGGTGACGATGCGTACCAGGACACGGGCGCGCGGCTGCTGGAGCTGGCGCACGCCGATCAGACGACGTTCAGGGCTATCGTGGGCGGCATGAGCGAGGCCCAGCGGGCGTTTCTCGAGGAGGTCATCCGGGCGGGCGGCCGCGCGTCGAACGAGGCCAGAGGCGCTGCGGGCAGTGGTGGCGCGGGCGGCGACAGCAGCGGGGGCCAGCCTACCATCGCGCTGAAGATGAACTTTGGGGGCTGATGCTATGGCTTTGAAACGAGGTGGGGGCGGTGGGCGGTTTGATATTAGCACGTTGTGATGGAGGAAACGAGTGACGTTCTCCCTCGACCAGCAAGATGTGACCCATTGATAGGAACAGGGTTAGAGCCCAGCAGTCCGATGAAAATATACGTCCGAGATTTCGTGCAGCCAGTTCCGTAAAGGGCCAAATCGGGAGCCAGCGCAGGACACCACCACCATTTCGGAATGAAGTAACAAAAGTGGCGAACGGATGACGGGGAGAAAAGGAGGCCAACCGTTGTCGTTTTCTCTCTCCCTCCCGCTCTCCCTCTCTCCGTGTCAGCCACCCATGGCCGGAACTACCCGAGGGAAAACAATTGGGGGCCAGGGGACCAGGGAAGGAGGGAAAAGGAGAAAAGAAAGAGGGCGTGTCAAAAAGGGGGGGCGGCCCGGCCCTGCTGAAGACAAAGAATCCTCCGCGAGGGGAGGTGTCCTCGAGGACCCAGGACAAGTCCGGGGTTTGTTGGCCTGGGGGCGGCTGTCACGCGGCTACCCGCGATGCATACCGGACCATGAGCTGCTCGGCGGACTTGGGCCTGCTGAGCGGCTCGTGTCACGCGAGATATGGCAGGGGGGGCCAAGCTCAATGATTTCGGGGTCCCGGATAGCGTTGCGTTGACTGACGGATGATGGAGGAGGGGAGGGGAGGGGGGAGGGTTCGTTCCGGCAGCGGGTCGTTGCGGCAGCGGATGGGGAGGGCCAAGAGGTAGGAGGAGGCTGGCTGGCTGCTCCGATTTCGATCCGCGCGAAGTTCGAGGTTGGTCCGGCCGGTTGATGCGGCTTGCTGGACTCGGTTTCGAAGATCGGGTTCGCGCAGCTCGTTGCATGTTTGCTTTGGCCATGTGGATGGTCTGCCGTGCGGTGAGGTTCCTCCATTGGCAATTCCCCCTGAGAGGTGCCCACACCGGCCTTGCTCCTCGTCTTTAGCCTCATAGATAATGGCATGTGAAGGCAGTCAAGCCTGGGTTGCAGACGCGGACGAGTCCCGTCTCGCAGTGCCGCCATGTAGCTGCAGATGAAGGCGCCTCTGGTCACGTCTGCTTGACGAAGATCTTCGTAGGAACGAACCCTCATAGGGGGCGGTCGGTGCTCAGCCTTGTATTTCTCGGATGATATTGCACAGTTGGGAAGAGTGTCCGGCCGGTCTGAACATCAATATGCTGCCTTTGATGTGACATGATTCAAAGATCTAGAGTTGTCATCACATGTACATCCCATTGTCTTTCACATACGCAACATAGACTGCAGCCTGTCTGTCACAAAGTGATACTCGTGCCTACGTAAACCTAAAAATGTCGAGAGAAGAAGAAAGGGGGTCGGTTACACAGAGGGCATGCACAACAACACAAACAAACCCGCAAACGCACATCACTCAGTCAAGCCAAGCGTAGGCGAACCTCCTCCCCCCCCCCCCCCCCCAAAACCCCTGTCAGCCTGGACTCGTCTACGTCACTCGGGAACACAACAGGCTGCATGCCCAGCTGTCAAATCCCCGCACCCCCTAACGTCTCCTCCCGATCACATCACCAGCCCCTATGCGGCAGGGCCAGGCATCTCATCACACGCCCTACATCCTTCAGGCCGGAAGAGCCAAGACATGGCAGATGAGAGCCGAGGGTGTGGAGAATGGCCCTGTTGTTTGCCTCACCCACCTTCTTCAACCTGCATTCCGGGGAACATCCACCACCGCGGCGCCGTTCCGGCTCCCCAGCGCCGTCACACACAGACACACACAGACACATACTACCACATAATCACAATTAATGCATGCATGCATGCATGCCCCCGGACACTCAGGACTTGACACATCCAATGGAAACTGGCGAGGCCTTTCTGCATGGGCGAACTGCTCAGCCTGGCGACGCGGCAATACAAGGGGCGTTCTGGCTGAGCGGCGTGTTGCACAGCATGTTCAACATCACATAGCCTGCATGCTCTTCTTTGTTCGTCAGCCCACTCTCAGACATTTTGCCAACCTTGAAGATTTGCTTTAATTGATTAGTCGGGTGAAACTAGCAGAAGTTAATCAGCCCCGAAGGAAAAAGAAAAACGAGTTGTTGAGTTCGCAAACCATGAACCTAAATCCCCGCGCCTTCCCAGAATAGAAGCCCGTTTCGTGATCATTGTGAATCCTTCGTTTCACTCGTGAAGGGGCCGCGCCCGCTCACACGGCCCTTCGCCTCGCCCGTTCAGGCGATCTGGACGCCCGACTCGACCCGTTCGCGATGATGGGCGGGCCCTGGGCTCGGTCACCGTATCGGTCACCGTGTCCGCGTCCTTTTGACGTCTTGCTGCTCTTGCTTTTGCCGTCCGCGTCCTTCTTGTCCTTTTTCGACTTGTCCTTGTGTCTGCTGCCGTTGCTTTCCCAGTCTTCGTGATGGTGCTGCTGCTGCTGTTGTTGCTGCTGCTGGTGGTCAAGCCCCCGGATCACTCCCTCGTTTGTCAGCCGCACTTCAAGGATCTTTCTTTGAAAGAGCTGGCCATTCAGTTCTTCAACGATGCCGCAGGCCACCTCGGGCGTTTTGAACGTCGCAAAGATGTGACCCCTCAAACGTCCGTCGTTGTCGCGTGGAAACTCAATGTGTTGGAGTTGGTGCTTGTCCGCCGTGACTACCTTCAGGGATGCTTTGATGAGCTTCCTCAGCTGGTCCTCAGACGAGCTCGAGCTGAGATGTTTGACGATGATTTTGCGCTGTTCCGTGACTAATAGGCCTGCCGAGGATGCGGAGGAGCTGTAGTGCTCGCCAGTCGCCGCCGACGACCCTTCGTCACCGTAGCCTGGCCCGTCGTACATTGCGTACTGTTGGGCTCGGTAGTCGTAGGAGGGCTGCCGAACTCGACCGCCGAGCGCCGGCTCCATCTCGTACGGATAACCACCTCCAGCATCGGTGTAGCCGGTGGTGCTGTTGGACGAGGAATAATACGGTGTCCTAGGGGTCTCGGCGTGATACGGAGCTGGCAATTCAACGGGCGAGTAGGGCGAATATGGAACACCAGTGGATGGTGTTTGAGCAGACCACTGTAGAAAGGGAAAAAATGTCAAAATACTACACACGCTGTGCAATGCTCAGCATGCTTACCTTCCCATGATGACCAGGGCTCGCAGTCGCTGATGGCTTTACAGCTACTCCGTAAGATGGCGAGGTCATGACCGACACGCCGCGTACGTGTGGTGAGGCGATCGACGGTGCTGACGACGACGGGTCACCAATGAGCTCCTTGATCTTGATGCGCTCCGTGGCATTGCGCCCGTCTGCAATGATGCATCGGCCCCCAAACTCGCACTGATTGAGACGTCCTACGAAGATCGTGTCAGAAAAGCAAGGCAGTGTGCGCTCGCCACGTGGCTCACCTAATGCTCGACGAAAGTTGTCCTCTCCTTTGACACGGACCCAGCCGGACGTACTACTGTTGAAGATCTCAACATGCTCGACGATGCAGGTATACCGAAGCCAGTCCTTCAGCTCGTGCCATGATGTGCCAAAGGGCAACTGGGTTGTCGTCAGTGTCAGTTTGATGAGATTGCCGGGCCATGTCTCCTCCAGGGGGCCCACGGACATTGGCAATGGTTATGTAGTAGAGGCCCGTCTTGCAACCGGGTTCTACGTCTCGCTGAACGCTGTTGGCCGCACCCGTCATGGCTACGGCTTGGGTGGGAGGCCGAACAGTGACCAAACACGCGAGACAAACGCTGAGACTGGGAAATTCGCGTGTTCGTATTCGTACGACTCCGAGAAGAACGACAAGGGCCCTCGAGGCAGTGTGATCAGTAGCACAGCAGCGATGAATTTGTGACGCGATCGGTGCCAGGCGGACCGTTTGCTCTCTTGGACAGGGAATAGCAAACAACGCAGAGAAAGGCAAAAGACCAGACGGAGAGGGACGAAGATGGCATCGCGAAGGCGGATGATCCCAGCCCACATCCTTTATAAGACCATTGACCCAGCCCCAGATTAACACATCAGCAAGATGACCTAGCAGGGTTTGTGAGAAATCTTGATTGCCTTTGGGATCCAATAGAGTGACAACTCCTTCTTGCTCTGGCTAGACTGCTTCGACGGCATGGAGCCAACGCCGGGAAGCCATGCATCGCGCAGGTTCAAACTGTCGGGAGAGCAGCCTTGTTCCCGGGGGACTGAAGATCCTGTTGTCTCCATTAGGTAAAGGCAGTGATATATTTTAGAGATGATTGCAAGAGCCCCGTCCACACGCTTACCTCTTGCCAGCCGCCATCGGCATACACATCGGCAGGCGCACCATGCACAGGGTGGAGGGGCGTCGCGTGCTATAGTACACGTACTGACCTTGTCCTGGATGCAGTGGACCTTGCTTGTACTGCAGACGATCACAGCCCCATAGAGAATGCAGAGAGGCGCCATCCGAGTCCCCCAACCACGACTCCTGATTGTTACCGCCGAAGGGCGTTGCATAACTAGGTCTGGATGGTTAGCCAGCTACGCAACGTTATATTGACTGCCCTGCAACGCAGCATGCAACGCAGGTGCGTCATGACCGCAGTCGGCTGTCTGCTCAGCCGAAATTCTGGCCCAATCTGGAATCCGTGGACCGGGCTCATGGACCCCCCTTTTGTGCCCATACGAGCCTTCCGATGGTAGCCAGTGTTGGCCAAGCGAATGTCGACAGCCGAGGGATCGAGGTGTGGTAACACTTGGTGGTCGTGCGAACAGGGGATGCCAACGCCGGGGAGCTGTCCCACCACGTCCGCGTCGAAAGCTAAAGCTGCCAAGAACATGACTTGGGGGAGGCTCAATCTGACGTTGGCCTGGCTCTCTTCGGTTGGTTGATAGATCCGGGACACGTCCTGCAGTGAAGCCAACAGTCAGGTGCCTGTCCCGGCGCTTCAGACACCCACGACAAATCGCTTCACAAGGTGGGATGGCTCAGTAAAAGACGGGTTCTCCGTCTGCGGTGTGTTCTCCGAGTTATGTTGCCGTGCTGGCAATCACAATGGCTGCCCATCATCTTTCCATAGACTTGCATCCGCTAATGCGGCCTATTCGAATTTGTCGCACTCGCCAGAATGGCTGCCCATGGTTTCTTCTGCCAAGTCACATCAACTAGCCAGCCAGCGGCTGCGGGACGACACACACTAGTTCTCTGTCGTATCTGACAGAGGAAATGCTGGGGTTTTCATTGGAACCGGCGACGGCTCCGCAGGCAGAGTGCAGCAATGAGGAGTGTTAAATCAATCCGCGGCTGGCCCGCATCTCGCCGTGGCCTCGATGCCCTGCTCAATGATGTCGTGCCCACTCAGGACTTCGCAATGCAGCCTCTCCCGCCCGGCGGGTGAGATTCACTCCTTTACCCACTTGCCTAATGCAGTACCGCGCATGCGCTGCACCTCCCCCCAGCGTTGAGTTCGAGCAGCGCCCAATCCTGGTGAATGGTACGTTATGAGGCGCCTTCGGATGCAAATCGCAACCAAGTATCGCGGCTGCAAGTTGGTTTTCCGCGACAGTCAAACAGCTCCGACGTGGATGTCAAACCGTGGAACTGGGTTATTTCTATGCAGAGAGCCAGAGTTTGCACTGCGGCTACATGCCTAGCATCTCATTTCGACAGGGTGGCGGTGTCCTGTCTGGTCTCTAGACTTTTCTGAAGGAGAAGGTATCGTCCATGGCTGACAGGTCTTCATTTGTCACAACGGACGAGGTCACTTCCAGGCCTCGAATATGTGCGAAACCTGACGGTGTGTCAACCCTGCTCGAGTCGAGCGTCACGTCGCCGACGTGGGCGTCTAGCCACGGGGCTGGGTGCTGATCCGAGTCCCCAAGACTGGCCAGCACGGTGTGCGTAGAGTCGCTGCAGAGTACGACTGGCGGTTCGCCCGGCCAAGCGACCCATGCTACCCGGGGCTTGCCAACGGACTTCGAGGTGGAGGGAAGTCGAGATGCAAAGTCCACGGCCCGGGGACCATCCGATAACGGATCCCAGGTGAAGAGTAAGCCACCATAGCCTTCCCCCTCGCAACTCACAACGAGGAGCTCGCGGATGCTGGGATGCCAGGAAAAGGTCGACACGTCTCCGTGGAAGAGGAGAACGGCTCGCAGCTCTGACGAGGATAGATCCCAGATCCAGAGAGTGCTGGGAGAGTCTTCCATCTTGGTGGCAGCAAGAACCGCGGACGAATCGAAAGAGACGGCTGCACAGCCAGTCTTGGCCTCTTGGCTGCTGCCGCTGGTGCTGTTGACTGCGCGAGTGGGGGCGGTTACGGTTTGCGTGGCTCTGACGAAGGAGTGGGCGGGAAGACCCATCTCGCTAAAGGTGATTTGTTCCTGCCATATCTGGTGTACCTGTCAGTGAGATGCACATGATCCGCCCCCCTTCGCCGGCCGACAACGCAGCACACCAGACGGGGGCGTTGGGCCACTGACTGACCTGTACAGTATCCTTGGGCACGATGAGGGTTGGGTGTTGAAGTCTCAGGGCGTCCGTCACGGCTGCGAGGTCGAGGATGTAGACGTTGCGCGTATAGTCGCAGATGGCAGCCCGACTGGCGTCGGAGCTGAGGTGGCAAAGTTTGACACCTGCACCAAGCTCGTGATCCTTGACGTCGCTGGTGAAACCCGAGGGTCCAGACCATTCCTTGAAGAGATGACCATCGGGCGTGTAGAACAGGACTTTGTGCTGTTGGGAGGGCGACTCCCAGAGCACAAGCCACCGACCATCAGGCGACCACTGCAGGCTCTGTGCATCGACGGTTTCGGGGCTCCATGATCGCTCAACTTGTCGGGAGACGGGGTTGTGGATGCTGATGACATCCTTGCCGGCGACCCTGGTCAGCAAGGCAAAATGCGAAGTCACGGGATGGAAGGAGAAGCCTCGTGGGGCGGATGAGGCGTGGTGGAACTTGGGGTTGTTGATCTCGATGGATCTGGAAGCGGCCAGATCGAAGATGGTGAATTTGAGACCAAACTGGGTGGACACGCAGACCTCAGAGTCAGTGGCGCCAAACTGAATCAGTGTTGGTCGTGATGTGGCCGACGCGGGGACGCGCAGGGTGGCATGGAACCCTTCCCGGACGGCAGAGAAGACATGGATCTGCTCAGCCAGAGCCACCAGAAGCTTGGTGGATGACGGTGACCACTGGAAGGCAACGACGGGCCCTGCGATGTCGGACGGAAGGGTGATGGTGTTGATCGTCTCGAGGCTCTGGACCGACCGGACATTGATTTTGGAAGAGAGCAGCGTCGCGATAAGCGTCCCGTCGGGACTCGCGATACAATGCGGGGATGCTATGAAGTCGTTTAGTGCCGTGCGTGTCATGTTTGCGAGCCTGGTAGCTGCTGCTGCATGTTGGACCTACATTTGAAGGCGCGTGTGAAATGCATTGCGACGTGGTACTCAGGCGCCAACACGAGAGCGAGATACGAATAGGAGATACACAGAGCGATGATCCGGATGGAAAGGACGAGATTGTCGATAAAGACTATTTGGAAGAGATGTACGGTCTCTGATGCCGGCTGGCTGAGGCACGGATATGGTTCAACATTGATTTGGTAGAGAAAGAGACACCCGAATGCTCACTGCTTGTCGAGAGACAGAAACCAAATATTGACCGATTGCCGGTTTGAGCTTAGCGCGGGGTAGCTTGCCCCTCATCGACCTTGTACCTACAGGTACATTGTACCTCACCGACTCACCGAACCCCCCGCCAAAGACGCACCAAGCCCCTCCGGAAAGCGGCCTTCTCCGTTCCTTCTCCGCTAGGCGTGTCACAGGGGCCCGATTATTCAGCAAACCCCTCCAAGGCTGTCAGATCAGTGGACCCTGCGCCCTGCAGCGCGGAGACGTTATCGCCACAGCCATTTCTGACTCAATTCAACGACACGACATGATGATATGAGTGCGAGAATTGCATCTTTTCCACATCCCATCTATTGTTTGGCTTCCTCTCTTTTCTGTGTGTGTGTTGTGCTTTTCCATAAACCCATCGACCAGCGACGCGGCCGCCTGATCATCCGGGCGCCCCGTTGCATGGATGACTTGAGCTCGGAAGGCTATCCCTTGCTCCACGGCAACTCGTCTGACTCTCCTCATCCTCTTCCTCCGAATGACGACCATCATGAGGCATGCCCTTTGGAGACGGGCCTCATTCGCAGGCTGCAGAGCCTCGAGACGGCAGCCGACGCCAAGGTGTCTTACCACGGCCGCCGCCACGCCGTCAGTGACACCCGATCCTGCACCTCATCCAGCCCTTCCCGCGAGTTCCACATCAAATCGACGTGACGCCCTTCGCGATGCCAAACCCTTTTCCGACTTTCTCACGGACAACTTTCGTCGTCAGCACGACTATCTGCGAATTTCTGTCACAGAACGCTGCAACCTCCGCTGCGTCTACTGCATGCCCGAGGAGGGCGTGCCACTCTCCCCGAGCCGCGACATTCTGACGACGCCCGAGATTGTCATGCTCTCCTCCGTCTTTGTCAACCAGGGCGTCACCAAGATCCGCCTCACCGGCGGCGAGCCCACCGTCCGCCGCGACATTGTGCCCCTGATGCGCCAGCTCGGCGCCCTGCGGCCCCACGGCCTCCAAGAGCTCTGCCTCACGACAAACGGCCTGTCGCTGCACCGCAAGCTCGACGCCATGGTCGAGGCCGGCCTCACGGGCATCAACCTGAGCCTCGACACGCTCGACCCCTGGCAGTTCCAGATCATGACGCGCCGCAACGGCTTCTCCGCCGTGCGCAAGACGATCGACCGCGTCTTCGAGCTCAACCGCGCCGGCGCCGGCCTCAAGTTCAAGATCAACTGCGTCGTCATGCGCGGCCGCAACGACGCCGAGATTGTCCCCTTTGTCGACATGACGCGCGACCGCGACGTCGAGGTCCGCTTCATCGAGTACATGCCCTTTGACGGCAACCGCTGGAACGAGGGCAAGATGCTCGGCTACGCCGAGATGCTCGACGTCATCCGCGCCGCCCACCCCACCGTCGAAAAGGTCCGCGACCACCGCAACGACACGGCCAAGACGTGGCGCGTCCCCGGCTTTGCCGGCCGCATCGGCTTCATCACGAGCATGACGCACAACTTTTGCGGCTCCTGCAACCGCCTGCGCGTCACGAGCGACGGCAACCTCAAGGTGTGCCTCTTTGGCAACGCCGAGGTCTCGCTGCGCGACATCCTGCGCAAGTCCAATGGCGGCGAGCCCATTGACGAGCAGGCCTACGAGGCCATGAAGCAGATTGAGATGGACAGGCGCCAGGGCCTCGCCACGTCGGATCAGCCGCTGGGCACCGCCCTCAACGAGGCCGAGCTGCTTGACATTATTGGTATGGCCGTCAAGCGGAAGAAGGAGAAGCACGCGGGCATGGAGAATCTGCAGCACATGAAGAACCGGCCCATGATCTTGATAGGTGGGTAATGGTTCATACTTTTTCTCCCCCCTTCTCTCTCTCTATTTCTCTCTTCACATGTTCGGATGGTCACTGCATGAATTGGCGTTGGGGTGTGCTAGAATTCCAGGGGGGCCGGGGACGATACCGTGTAGACGCGGCACTGGCACGGGCAGAGGCACAGCTCAGGGGCTCAATCTGATGAACAAATGAATGATTTCTCTTTGTTTTCCTCTGATAGGAAGGGAGCTAAATAGCTGGTTGTAGATTCCAATTCAACTGGTCGCTCTCCCATCTCTTCTTCCGGCGGCCCCAACTTGTCGTTCAACGCAGTGCTCCCACCGCCAAGTCCCGTGTCATCCTTCCTCCGCCAGGCGTCGCGACCTCTCCCTCGCCACCTCCTCGCCGCCGCACCATCGCCCGCTCAGCTCTCCCACCGCGGCCGGCTATTCTCAACAACCCACCCTCGCCGAGAGCAGGATGGCAGCCCCGCCAAGAAGCTCACGCACGTCTCCGCCTCGGGGACCGCGCACATGGTCTCCATCTCCTCCAAAACGCCAACCTCGCGCGTCGCAAAGGCCGCCTGCACGGTAACCTTTACGACGCCCGAGCCCCTGCGTCTCATCGCCGAGAACCAGATGAAGAAGGGGGACGTCCTCGGCGTCGCGCGCGTCGCCGGCATCATGGCCGCCAAGCGCACCTCCGACCTCATCCCCCTGTGCCACCCCATCCCCATCTCCCACGTCAGCGTCGAGCTGCGCCCGCGCGCGGCGGAGGGGGGGAGCCGCGATGGCTGCGTCGCCATCGACGTCGAGGCGATCGTCACGTGTGATGGGAAGACGGGGGTGGAGATGGAGGCCCTGACGGCGGCGAGCACGGCGGCCCTGACGGTGTACGACATGTGCAAGGCAGTCGACAAGGGTATGGTCATTTCTGACCTGAGGGTCGTGCTGAAGGACGGAGGAAAGAGTGGGCGCTGGGAGATGCCGTAGACAGCCCTGCGCAACCAACAAAACGGTAAGCGTTCGAACTGACTCCTACTTTCGCGAGTCACGGCCTCAGTTGCTGGTTACATTGTCGTCGACGTACGTCTTATAATTCGATATAATCATGGGTGTCGTGGGCCTTATTCAAGATCGTCCAGGCAATGAAATTCAAGACATGGCAAGCATCGTTGCCCGACTCGAACCCCTCCACCATCCCAATTCCTTGCTCACGCTCCGCGTTACAGTCGAGTCATTGTACTATCGTCTTGAAATCTTTCAGCCTCTGCAATGGCAGATATCTTACACCCCGCATGCGTCAGTAGCCCCAGGCGCATTACATGTCTTGCCAATGAGCGAGCCCACATTCATCAGCAACGTCGCCTCGCGACTGGGACTTGTGGCCAAGGTGCTGCGAACGCCTGACTCGCCATACGACGTTGATGGTGCTCAACTTATGGACCCGGTATCCTGTCAACCCCTGAGCACTGGTACCATCCCCCCCCTTGCCAGTGCGACTGACTCTCGGGCATGGCAGTTGGGCCCCCATAAACTTCATCATAGTGCTCAAAGGCCCAGCAAGCGTGCTATGGACAATGCGACTGTCTGACAACGCCAGCGTTCCCTCGATGCAGGCCAGGCTTAGCATACATGGAACAAACGGCAAGACGCGAAGATCACTAGCCGACATCGCTGATGTGCTGTCAATTGATCAGCTCCAGGCGCGAAACACACATCTCGATTGCAATCGATCGCTTCTTGGTGACTGCGAAAACCTCGCGTTTGACGTCACAGAGAGGGTATGAATTCCGTCTGAAGTTGTTGCTGCTAGCATGGATGAGCCATACCCCATCCCTGAAGTATGATCGCCAAATGTGACTTCATAGCGTTCCTTAGACCGCGATTTGGGCGCCAACAGCACCTGGCGATCGCCTTGACAGAAGGCCTGAGCTCTTCACGGCAATCAATGTCTTCTGTCTTGGAAGTCATCATCAACCTTATGAATCAATCAATGTGGAAAGCAACGATAGTAATATCTGTCGATGCATGTGGAACTCGCTTCGTTCACCTAATCCTATCAGTACTACTTCCTCACGCGATAGAGCTAATGATGGATGGCCAGCGGCCGAGCTGAAGTGTTGCGACGTCACTTCACGGCAGCTTTTGTTTGTGTCGAAACCAACCCGGCATCGGAGATCCACGTGGCTTGACCTCTCACACTTAAGACCTCGACCAACGGACATATAATGTTGTGCCTCAGGCAATAATGCATAAGTCCTTGAACCAATCGCTGTTCGCCGATAACGCCAACTTCATTGAGCCACTAAGACCCTGCACGTAAATGAGCTGCAGGGATAGCGTTGCAGCTGGGTCGAAATTCATTCCATATGCGGCTAAGCCAATCTGACAGGTCAACTGCGAAGAGTACCAAGAGAATTTCCCAGCTCGATTTGCGACGTGCAAGATCTAGGGGTGGCCTGTTCCCCCCTCGCGGGCGGCCTTTCACGCCTATTTCCTTCCGGCTCCCTGCGAATGGGGAAGCAGTGCGGAGCCGGGGTAGCACTTCATAGCATACCGCATTATTATTGTCGGATCGCCAGATCTGAGAGTTTGCACCATTGGGACCGAGGCATAGGAGATGATGATGGAGGTAGATGGGAGGCTGCGGAGTGTTTATCGCGGGACTGAACGGTATCTACTGTGCATGTCGTACTTCTGCTCATGGTGTTGATGTCTTGCATTTCGACTGGGCTGGTCGGGACTCTTCGCAATGGGGTCTATTGAATTCTGTTGCGTAAGAGCTCGCTGCGGCTCCCACCGGCGAATCCACTTGACGATGGGGGGCGAAGTTTGAAGGCTCTCGTCCTAAATGTTTTGCCGCCGCCAATGCCGCCAACACGCCGCGAAAGAGCCGCCGATAGCACATGGTACAGTTGCACTGAAACGCCCAGGCTGGTTTGAGGGAATCCGTTGCTGTGCCAGAGGGAATGAGATGTGAAGTTTCTGTTCGGCACCACGGAAGACGTCACTGAGTCAGTATGTGAACGAGGCTGGACTGTTGCAACTGCTGGCCGTGCCTGGGACTTTGGACGGCAACGGGTGTTGACAGGCTGCGGTGGCTTCGCCGGCTCTTGGAGGCCTGGTTGTGGCAACACCATCCTTCTTCTCCGAAACAAGTGCGCTTCAACTCTAGATGCTCCACACCTGGCCGGCGGTCGTATCCATCAGGTGGATCCCCCGGCGACGGCTGGCTTCCGTTTCTGGCGTGAACGTAGAGCCGCCGTCAGCGCCATTAGTAAAAATTCTGGAGCCGAGACCTTCTAGAAGCCGAGATTGTTCCTTTGGTTCCCGAATCCCTTTGTCGCCGGCGGGCCATTCTACTCTTCGAGGAAGGTCGAGGTCGGCATTAAGCTCAGTCAGTCAGGGGCACCGGATCTAGTTGTGCTAGGTAGAGATAGGAAGGAAAACATGAAGGAAGGAAGGAAGTGAACAAATCCTGGGTCGGTGACTGGCAGTGAAGCGGAACTCGGGGTCACGAGACCCATCACCCGAAAGAAAGTACTGCTGTACCAAAGTGCCGACTCAAGTCCCTCAGCATGGGCTAAATGATCGCCTGATAAGGTTGCAAAACAAGAAAGACATTGAGCCAAGAGACCTGTACGTGTGGGATAGTTCTGGGAAGCCGAAAGTAGACTGGAGTTCGGTGCTGGAATGATAGACTGTTGATCGCTTTTTTCGGACCAGAAGACCCTGAATCCAAGGCGTGGGCGAGTCAAGGTAGGCGTTCAAACAACATCAATCCTACACGCTGCGTGGACTAGGACAGGGGTTGTTCGGTCACCGCTTGACCGCTCGTTGGTCTCGAGGAGCAGCCCAAATGCGTCACGCGACAACCAGCTGCCAGGCTTACCTGTCGGCTCGCCCGCCGTTACAAGTGCGCTTGTCGCCTGCTGTGTCTCAACTTATCATCTCCTGGTTGCCAGAGGCTGTGCCGAGGGATGGTAAGAACAGTCGAGGCTGGATTGAGGGCGATGCTTGGAAATTGGCGCCGTTCGTCTGGTCTGCCTGCTTGCCTACCACGGTCGGGCCAAGAGCGCACGAGCCGGGTTCCCACACTGGAGGGATGGGATCCTTGTTGTTCCATCACCCTGAAGATCCCGGACCGGTATCCTAATCCAGCAGTCGAGTAATGGCACACGCGAGAGGCTGGGACCTGGGACCCTTGGGATGCGCGATCGAGAGAAGGCAAGCCATTTCCGCCCGGCCTCGTGGCGTGGCAGAGTGATGCTGAGACGAAGGAGAAGCAAAGCCCGACAAGGGCGGGGCCGGATTGGGGTACGGAACTCGTGCACCTCGAGTCGGAAAGGCACCCCGACGTCGCCCAAGCGCGCCAGCACCTTGGTGCGACTGACCGAAGCGACAGGCGGGTTGGGCAACGGGATGATTCCTGTTGCGTTGTCAGTCGAGGGGCAGCATCAACAGCACCCTCCTAGCGGCACGAAGAGGCTCGTAAGCGACCAAAAAAATTGGTGGCAATGAGGCACATCTACCCTCGTGAGGGAACCCCAGCCTCTGTCTAGGAAGATGAGGCGCCCGTCAAGGGTTCCCCGACCGCCCAACTTCAGGGGACCTTTATCCGCCTTGGCCTGGTTGAGACTCTATCTGCGTCTGAGATGCCACGGGAATGCTTTCATCGATGACTGCTCCTTGATTGCTTTTTGCTTATCGCTCGTGATCGTCATTGTCCAATCCGGGTTCGGAAAGAAGTGCGGACTGGCGGTGACGTTTGAACGAGAGGTACCAGCTACCCTCCATCTCGACATGTGGCTGCAGGAATGCTAGTCATGGCCTTGGCCGTCCCGCTGGAGGATGGCATCCGAAAGACAGAGGCGCGGGCGCCGCGGTTGACGGCGCCGGCGAAAGCCTGCTGGGTCGGTCTAGGAGATAGAGAGATACAGGTGGATGGTAGTAGTGGTGGTAGCAGCGGCAGCGGTAGCGGTAGCGTTAGCGGGAAGACTGAGGGATGTGGGAGGACATGGAGGAGATGCGAGGCCACCGCTCCACCCCGTCCCCAAGCCCCAAGCCCAGAGCAAGGCCTTACGGTGGAGGCCCTGTACCTCTAGGGGACTAGGGCCGTGCTGGGGAGGGGCGGTGGGCGACAGGGGTGCGCCTGGCTTGCCTGAGATCCTGGGAGGCGGTTTCCGCCAATTGCCGCACTTTTAAAACCAATGGAAAGCCCCCTCTTGCCTCCTCCGGCCGTATCGGTGCCTCCTGCCCCCCCGTGCTCGTGTTCACTTGCCTCCCGACCATTACCTGCAGTGCCTTATCAGCGACTACTACTACCTATCACATCCCACCTCGTTCTCGTCACGATCGCTTCACCTTCCTCAACACCCCTCGCAACCCACGAGCCTTACAACACTTACCACTTCTCACGCCACCCCGTCCAGCACATCTCCATGTCTTCCGCTTAGAACCTGACCATTGTGTCACTGGCGTTTGCAGAACGCCTCGCGTAACAGCACCCGTGCCGAGAACACCAACCCGACTGTCACACCTTCGGCACCTCAACGACTCTCTTACCTTTTCTAGGTTTGAGTGTACATCGAACAGTCATACGACCTGCTTCGACGCTTTGTTGAGACCTCGATCAGTACATTCCACCCCAGATAATTCTCCGAGACAGCAGTCTCATCTTGTTCTCTCACCACCACAAAGATGACGGCTGAACTCATCATGCCGTCCGTCCGCGATCTGACCCACCCTCACGGTGGTCACTGGGAGCACTACGCTCTCCCTCAGCGCCCGCACTTCTCCCACACGCGCTCGCAATCCTATCAGCTGCCCAACAACAGCAATGCCAACAGCACACCCATCACCACCACTTCTCACCACACATCCCCATTACACACCCCAGGCGCAACCTCGCCAACGTCACCCGGCACTCGGTCTCTTGCTGCTGCCCGCCAGGCGCGACCACTCTTCATGCCTGCCGTCCTGCGCCCCACTGAGTTCTCCTCAAAGTTGCCTCGCTCTCCCAAGAACGAAGACGGACCTGAGAGTCCCGCCGACCTGAATCTGCAGCGCGTCAACAGCAGCTTCATCAGTCTTCCGGGCCTGAGCATGATCGGTTCGCGACTGAGCCGGCGCTCCACGGGGGACAGCGGAAAGGCGATGGACTGCGATTTGGATCCGGAGCTGTTCCCCGAGGTCAGCGGCGAACCTACGCGCAAGCACTGGAAGGTTAGCAACAGCCCATCTTTTTGCCGATTTGGGTTTTCTGCACAAGCCAGTTTACTAACACCATGAGTGCAGCCCGATCCTCACGCCTCAATGTGCGATGACCCTACTTGCCAGCGTACATTCAACTACTTCAACCGCCGCCATCACTGCCGCAAGTGTGGCAACATCTTCTGTGACAGCCATTCTGCGCAGACAATCCCTCTCGACCAGGACCTCAACTACAACCCTCGGGGTTCCCCCTCGCGCTCCTGCGGGCACTGTTTCACCCAGTTCATCGCGTGGAAGAGCCGAAACAACAGCCAGGCCAGCAGCGATCAGGGCTCTTCAGTCGACACTGCCGCCGGCCCCATGCCTGGTGCCGCCATCCCTACGGGAAGCGCGAGCCCTGTTCCCACCAGCAGCCCCAGTGGTAGCGTCACTATGGGTTATGCCAGAGGCCCGGAGGTTGCCGCCAGTGTGCCTAGAGATTGGAACTGGAGCACCTTCTAGGTTTCTTCGCCATATACGTTGTCGGCGCTATTTCGAAGCGACGACCAATTACACAACATAGACATAGACATACTCCAATACCCGCCGTCGACACACCCTCAACGTTAATCGCGCCCCTCCCCCACCTCCACCCATCACTACAACACGACAAGAGCAACATAGACAGCGGGGTTTGTGAGCATCCTGTTTTGGGATATGCTCTTTTCATTTTTGAGCGCGGCGTTTGGAGGTTAGCTTTGCTTTTTTGAGACGCACTCGACAGATCGAGAAGACGTCATACCTCGCTACGGCGAATGTTAAGAAATCACACAGGAACATGGAGGAAGATACACTGGCCTAGGACGCCTCTGTGCTTCTTGCAGACGGGGTCGCGAGCCTGTCTTCAGTTCTTCCAGCAGTCCCATATATTTTGAGGACGGAATAACTCCCGCCAATCAAGCATCAGGTTCGCAACTTATATCCTCATTGACTTGTAATATGCAGTGAAGTGACATGACGTCCTGGTATGACTTCAGAGGCCTTTGTGTGGTAGTAGGCTCGGGATATAGGGAGCTCCACCAAACATGGTTTACAACATTCCTCCATCACCTTCCTACCAGTGGGCCGTCTCCCGTTTGCGGCACCCTTGCCGTTCCCGAACAAAGATCTTCTTCTGCCAAATATGTACGACAAATAGCAGTTCGCTGATAAGACCATCTTGAAATAGATTCGCAGCTATTTGAAGAGCCGCGAAAGCCCCTTCTTGACTTGCTGATCGCGTGAAGCTAGGCGCTGGGAAGGGGGGCAAGGGAGAGGCGGGGTGTTTTGCATACTGCAAGAAGAACAGAACCAGAGGCTTCACGACCCCTCACCTGT